CCGCGTCAAACCAACGCAACTCCGCGTCAAACTAACGCAACTCGCGTCATTCCCGCGTCAAAAGAAACGTCCCGCGTCAAAGTCGCAGAGCATTTTAACGGACACATAAAAATTATTTAGAGCTAAAGAAAATCCTCAAAACAATCTAAACGGACAGATTTCGGGCGTGCGTTTGACGTTGTGGTGCGTCCCAGTACGTCGAAGCTAGCGGAGTAGTGAAGTCGTCTGTGCGTCAGTACGTCTACTGAGAGCCAATATTGCTGCTCTAGCTAACTAGCGGACGAATATCCCATCTCAATTCGTCTTTGGCAGCCATGACTGTTCTTCCAAGTATGAATGGCAGATTGGCGGCTTCAAGACTCAGCGTACTTCGCGTTTCATCATCGTTAATAACAACAACTCGCAGTGCTACGTTTTGGGGTTCGCATTTGTCCAACCTTCACTCCAATAACCACCTTGGGTTTTCCACCACGACTGTTGATATGGATCCAATGAAGAGAAGGAAGTCAACGGTGGCAGTAGCGTCAGCGTTGGATACGAATGTTAATCGCTGCATTGAGATTCCCCTTTCAAAATCATACACTGGCAATCCTTCCATTCTATTGGAAAGAGCTGCTCGCGAAACACAAGTTCTGCTACCTTTGTTACAGTCTCGCGAAAAGGATGTTCAACGAGCACAGGAACAACACGATTTGCATGGAAGCCTTCAATTTGCTATGAATGCTGCAGAGACATTGTTAAAAGTCACTGAATCGACGGCCGAGTTGGCGGAAGCCATCCGAAATGCGAGCATTCAAAAGCAACAGCAAATTGTATCAATTCACCGAACATTATTGGCAGTTTCGCAACTCTGTACCTCTCTCATGGCGGCCAACAACAAAATCAATTGTGAATTCGTGGCTCTCTCGATGGAACACCCTTTGTTAGATTACGTGCTCCAACTGGCGCTCAGGGTGCACCAATTGGGACTGGGATTCCACTTGCCCCTATACCAAGGAATATGCCAGGCCATTGCATCACAAGAAAATTCTATTCATTCCCCTAGTGCGTGGATTTTGAATGTTGCGGAATGGGCGCAACTAGAGCTGGGGCACTTGCCTAACAATTTCTTTGAAGATTCTTTGTTGGAGTTGACCAAGAGGCAAAGGAACCACGAAGCTATATCCATCTTGCAAGGAATTAAGCAAAGACACCAACAAGCGTCATATCTCAATGAGAAGACTACGGAAAAAATCTTGCTTAATCTGAAGGGATCCATCCGAAGCATGTATCAAAAGCAAAAGTCAACCTGGACACTGGAAGAAGTGCATTGTCGAGAGATTATCTTGCTGCTAGAATCCTCCATTTGGAAACTTGTGGATGAACAGCAACAGCAGCATCAACAAAATCTCATTGACAAACCAAGCATTTTGAAAGACGCGGTTGAAGTCATTTTGTTAAGCCATACTGAACAAGATTTGTCAAATGAATTCTGCACTCATCAACCAGACGATTTTGAAGAGCTTTTACTCGAAGCAACGGAGTTAGCTGATATACTGGACGGTAAGGTAGGGATGGATATAACGTTGGACGATCAATCGTTGCTCTACACTCGGCCCATTGAGTGCAATGGTGTGCCAGACATTACTTCACAACTGCTGGTGAGATCGAAGAATAAATCTTTGCGATACAGTCCTGACATGGAACGTCACATTTACTTCCAATTTTGCCCAACGGACATGGGCGATGATGACGATGCCATGTACTGAAATTTTCATCTAAATTGGCAATACCTCAAGCATTTTGAAGCCTGATGCTATGGCGAAGTCAGCTGGTATGCTAGCTAGGAAATCACATTTTGACGGGACGAATATACATTTTTTAATGGTGAATGAATTTGCCTTTGGAGACAATGTCTGGGAATATCATAGAGGGGCAGACCAACAACATACATTATTGGTTTCTCAGCACGGTGATAACTACAACTGTGCAAGAACAAATTCTTATGCCAATGGAGCTCGTTTTATTTGAAGAAAGATCACTCCACTTACACCTTTTGCCAAGCAAATAAATTGCAAGGCTCTGGATCTACCTTGACGATGGGGTGACTTACATTGGACTACATTCCATGGTTTTGACCTGTAATGACAATGGAATAGGTATTATGATAGTATAGTAGAATACTGTACCCAAATCTCAAGAAGGCGAGCTAGTCAGTCGATCCACTCCGTCCTCTGCAAAACGTGAAGTGGAGAGCGGAATATCACCCTTTCTGGCCCCAATAACAAAAAGGGCAAAGACTCTCTGTGTTGATGGTAGTCAAGGGTCATGATGTCCCAACAAAGCAACGCCTACAAATTGCACCCAAATCGATCAAGAAAGCACCACTCATCATCACCAAAAGTTTCATAATATTTGGCTATGCCCTTTTCATCGTTCTGTTTTTTCAAGTCATCTTAGCATCAACGTTCATTGTCATGAAGGAGGGGGTGTCTCAAATCCTTCGAATGAGAAGATCTTCTCAGGTTTGGTAGAAGAACAACAATGAAAACTTGAGAACAAAACCGATACAGTGCTATCCTTATGCCCCTCTTGCTCTCATTGTAGATGATAGGAACAGAACTCATGACTTGACCTATAGGATTCCCAGGTTGAAGTGTAGCCTGTGCGCCACACGCATCATACGTGCGCGAACAGCTACAGTTCTCTAATGAATCAATCATAGGATTCGGTTGGAAAATTGATGGATCATCACTTTTCTCACTGCATGCCTTTTACCTGATTTGATATCCATCATCTTGTAGAAACTAGTCACCCTCTAGGCTTATAGTCTGTATTCATTTATTTCTGTCAGATTAACAGTTACAGTTACGCCTACAGCTAAGTGCAGCGATTTCCCCATCAGAAATTGCCCAATTTGTCTCCCATCAGAAGACAAAAACACAACAACTTGCGGATCGGATTTCACAGCGTTATCGATTTTGCCATCAGAGATTGCCCATCAATTGTCTTCATTTGTCAACGAGGACAATCAACTTTTCGGAAGTTTTAACACCATCAGAGAGGACCCACACAACAACTCCCGGATTGACTTTCAGTGTCCCACAAGTTCTACCGCGTTCAAATTGAATAATTCTTTGGGGTTTGCATACCTGTTGGGACATGACAAAATATGAATTGTTACGTTCCTTGAAAAACTACTCAAGTACAAAGTTTTGAGACGCACGATCGGATTTTGATCATGATGTCAGCATTTGACGCGAGACTGCCAAACAAGCAATATCTACACACACACACATCAAATGACCCTATACAAGTGGAATATTGATGTTGTGTACGATGCAGTAGGGAATATTACAAGATGTCCCAAAGTACAGCTCCCTTCACAATTTCGAAACATGCCGTAGAATTCCACGTTTCTGGTAGTCCACGTCATACTTCAAAACTAAGCAAGTACCTTTCAGATTTGTGCGCACCTCCGTAAACTTTCGTGGAAATTGTACCACATCCATCACAACAAAACTTTCCATTTTCATTGTCAACCTTTGGAAGGCTCGTTAGCATCCACCACACCTCTCTTGGTTCACTTTTATTTCAAAAACTCCTTCTTTACCCATTCGGCCAGCATATTATCAAAAAAAAGTGAACCAAGAAAAGGATGGCAAGGTCAAATTTCCAGCTGGTTCTTGATGCGTTGGATTCCATCCGCAGACTCCATCCCATTTACCAAGACAGATGGATGACGACACCGAATTGGGTGAAAGTGATCAAGCATAACTTCAGATGTAGTGGACAGCTTCATGGATATATAGGCTACACCATAAAACTCAGAAATCAAAAATCAAAAACTAAAAGGTAGAAGATTATTTTCCATGCCCAGGGATATTCCGCATTTTGGTGTGAATCTGAACTGGAATCGGGGCCTGTCCGGCTTGCTCACTCCTTCTGCACGGGGATCTGTGATCCGACATCATCACTGCTTGTGGAATTCATTCTTGGTTGGTGATCGTCGCGTTTTGGTCGTAGTTCCTTAAATTACAGACAGTTCCCCTAATTGACCATTGTTTTTGTCCTCTGAGTCAAAAATTCTGTGAATTTTTCACAGATGTTCCGAAATCTCTGTGAATGACCAACAGATGTTCCGAAATCTCTGTGAA